CATTTAAATGTTTTCATATTAAAAGTATAAACACTAACTAATAATACAATCAATTCATTGAATTAACAAAACTTTTTATTTTTATATTTTGTCACAAAATTCAATTCAAAAGGTTTGACAAGAATTTGAATTTAGTATCACTTTTAGAGCCATTAGTTTGTGTGTCATTGCCTTAAATACATGAAACCAATGACTGCCAGCACTACGACCACTAACACCACAACCGAAGGTATCCTCAGCTCAGCCCTCCCTCCCGGGGCGGCTCAACATTACCACCCGCTGGCCGTCCCGTTGGTAGTGATGATTGTCTCGTCATNTGTGTGTCATTGCGTTAAATACATGAAACCAATGACTGCCAGCACTACGACCACTAACACCACAACCGAAGGTATCCTCAGCTCAGCCCTCCCTCCCGGGGCGGCTCAACATTACCACCCGCTGGCCGTCCCGTTGGTAGTGATGATTGTCTCGTCATTTTGTGGTGTCTTCTGATTCTTGTGTTCAATCGGATACGAGTTCCCCTTCACACGACTCACAACTCACTCATTATTTGCAATAATTTAAAAATCTAAACAATAAATGATTTAATATCTTGTGGATAAATATACCAAATTCACTGGTATTTGAAACAATTTTATTCACTAATTATTTGCTTTTAAGTTAAATTTTATGCGCTGACAGTGAGACAAACCGACAGAAGATAACTAAACAAATAGTGTTTCATTGCTATTTATATTTGTGTCATATATTTGTATATTTTATTAGGAATTTCCATATTTTTGTATGTTTTCAATTATTTCAATAATTTATTTCTATTTAAATACAGTATTTGCGAATAAATTTTACTTCAATTATAAACTATTTATTAATAAAACCTTAGTTTCAAACAATATGAAGTTCAGTATCTGATTGATCACTAAAAGAGTTGCAAAACTTGACACTCCACTGACTTGTGAGATGTACTGTAAAAGCAATAATTATACAATTTTATAGAAATGAAACACAAATTCATAATAAAATGCTTCAAATATAGCGCCGATTCTGTACTCAATGTTGAGTCGTGTGTGCATTGGATGTGTAGTGAAGTAATGGGCGGACGTATGACTGGAACTCATAACCCATTTATGACTTATTGAGTGTACGTTTGGCTCAACTCTCATAGTATCACACAATCAGTGATTTGAATGAAACATGAGTTGAAAGCAATCGTCAACTCATCTCTCATTCAATTGATTTGCATTTCATTTGAACCCATATTTGGAGACCAACTGAATGGTGAAGAAGCGCACCAATGGTCGGGTCGGCAGATAACCAGAGATTTAATTGTCCAGTCGATGGATGTGTTTATGCGATCACTGGTGACAAACACTTCAAACGTGAACTCTTTTTGACACAAGTATTGAACCATTTGTTGATAATTAGTATTTTGATAAAGTAACAGAAGTAAACAGAAGTAACTGTCGTGTAGCGTTTGTTTGTGAGCCTCTTCTCCAAGCGCACACTCTTCACGGTGTTCTTCATACGGTAACTTACCGTCGACTGCATAGTAGTTTTCAGAACTGGCACTCAATGGAGGTGTGGTTCTTGTGATAAGTGTTATACCGAAAGACTGTCTTTAGTAATGCACTGCAAAAGACATTCACATGTGTTGTCTGGAAACGATTGCATCAAGAAATGTAAATCCGAGACCAAACCAAACCCAATATCAGTTCAGTTGATAGTGTGTCCACTTATTGTGTCCACTAATCACAGACTCGTCAATATATTACCAAAATGTGAGTCCAATATCGATGCCATTCACGTGAGAAGCGATTCCACACAAACGCCAGCCATCGAAGAATGTAAGAGATGTCGCACTAGATCTCCGGTTAAATGCATGGCAACTAATGTCAAGAAATTTCAATCGGTTTCCATACAAACCGATCGATTGAATCCGAAATCATGGAAAAGTCGTGAATCGAGAAGTACTGACTGCCAGACCATCAGAAAGCGGAACCGAAAGCCGCAATCAAACAACAATTTTGATTCGTAACTTTGTGTCTGAGAACTTTCACGAGAAGTGAGCTCAGCACAGAGGTTAACATAAGTTTAGAGACGGAGGTGAAGCTGCTGTGGAGGCTTCTTCAACTTTTCTGTAGCAAAACTACGGTTAGCTGTCAATCGAGTCAAATCAAAGTCTTGTGCCTTTACGCAGACAACTGTGCCGTCGAGTGCTTCGACTTCTTTGGATTTATTTGATTTCAATCCACTGTTGAGTCAAATGAATGCAACGAATACTATTTTGGAGCAATCGGTGCAAACAGAGGCCAATGATATAGCGGTGGGCAATGAGTTCAATAATATTGAGACTCAAACTGTAAATCTGGACATTACTGCCGATGATTTACACAATTTCGGCGCCGATGGAGATTTGGATCTCTTTTTTCTGAAACTCAAGTGTCTATAGCTCTGCGTTTGGTAAACCTTATTGCTGTCTTGGTGAGTTTGGCTACTTGTAAACCTAGTTAATTTACTACAAAAAGAATCTATAAATCTGCTACTCTCGCCTAGTGATATAACGGACACAACTTTGTTCGCATCCACACAAACCCAAACCCAAACACACATTGAGTTTCCAATACTTAACTCCACTTCCGCTCAAATCTCGCAATAATTTCTTATTTTAACATTCATTTAGTCATCAAATCCTGAACCTATGAAATGATTCCTATTTTTCTCAGAACTTTATAGCTATTTGTTAAACATGAACACAAATTTATTTATATATTTTTATACTAACAAACATTATTTACTAATTTATTGACATTTTCTTCAATTAAGACATAAATTTAGCCAAATATGAAGAATCTCTTGAAGCGATTCTATACTAATTGATTGAAATAATTATATTTGATAAGTACTGCCAATATATTTTGAAATGAAAACTCAAATTTTGGTGACATACAGACACACTGTATAAGAGTTACTCTTATTCTGTATAAGACATCTAAAGTGTACATTCTGTATAAGACATCTAAAGTGTACATTCTGTAAATATATTTTGAAATGAAAACTCAAATTTTGGTGACATACAGACACAATGTATAAGAGTTACTCTTATTCTGTATAAGACATGTAAAGTGTAAATTCTGTACAAACATAAACCGGTAATACAAAGCGCTTTCGTTTAGAAATATATCGATCCATTGAAAGGTTTCTAATTCTGTATAAGACATCTAAAGTGTACATTCTGTATAAGACATGTAAAGTGTAAATTCTGTACAAACATAAACCGGTAATACAAAGCGCTTTCGTTTAGAAATATATCGATCCATTGAAAGGTTTCTATAAATACATTTCAATTACTTTATTTATTGGATTAATAATAAAGAGTATTAATATTTGATTTTCTTTTATAAAAGGTTTTATTTATTTGATTTGAAATAATTATATAATACTTATGACTATTTATCGAGAAAAATATGTTCATTAAAAATGTTTAAACAAATTAAGAGTTAATTTGGTAAATAAATGTTGTTTTTAAACGCAATTTAATCGTCATTTCATTGTCATCACGTCTTATCGTTTAATCCATTTTTAATGATAAGTTAATAATAACTTAATATTTACTGTCGTATCAAATAACTGCCGAATATATAAAACTTAATGCACTTAACATTGATTTTAGGATAAAATACAATATTTTCATATCACTTGAAATTTAAAATTAAGGGATTCTTCACATTTTGGATGAATCGCTGAAAACAAATATAATCCCAAAGTATAGGTCTCTTTGAGAATAGGAGTGAATATATTCTTCTCATTCTTTCAACAATAATATAGACATTAAAATAGCATATACTCTATGATTGCGAACAATATTTACACAAATAATACATTTCATACAATATTCTCTACAAAAAGATCTATTCTTGAAATTTGTTTGAAAAGCTTTTTAATTTACAAATACTTATTCATATCTAATCTATTAGTTTATTTTAATTCAAAGTCTTTTGTGTTAATCGTATTCAATATATATTTATATTTAACTTCAATTATATATCACTTTTAAATCTAAGGTAACAATTGGCGACCAACTCCTCGCACTCATGAGATAATCCAAGACTAGAACACATTAATTGCCTTCAAATTCATTCATCGACTCGACATCTGTCGCACATTTGGATGACATCTCTTAAGGAATGATAGCGTTTATGACCCGATAGTAAGCACTGAAGTAATGAGAGAAGAATTGCGATACGATTCCCATCAGAGATAATGAGTCCGAGATATAAGAGCTATTGGTTTGCGTTAATCGGTTTGATAAGTGGACAGTAGGGCCGCGTCCACCGGTTCCAGACATGACGGACACGTGAACGACCTCATGAGCCAGTCGTCGATGCAGTCCGTGTGGTATATATGCATACAGGGCAGGAACCGGATGGGCTCAGAGATCAGGAATTCACCCATACATATGACACACCTGTGCACACATAAGACAACACTCATGAGTATTAGGTCCAGACTCACACCCAACCACTACATACTCCCTATTCTTTTTGCTGCCATCGAAGACACCGGTGGGTAAGTGTTGTATTAAACCCATTCTCTGCGCGATCTTTATCTGCTCCTCTTCTGTCAACTGAGTGGCAGATCGGCGATCATTAGGCGACGGGTAGTACACGGCATGCGATGACAGTGTTGTGGCCATCGTTTCCTATCAGACAATACACACAATGAGTGACTCAATGGACAATGAATGGTGAGGTGTGTGAGACCTGATAGGTTGGGCCGCCTGGGTACCTACGCCGGTTGACAAGTCTACTTCAGCTGAGTGCTCATAACCTACACAAAAGGGAGTTGTCACTCTACAGCAGCACTCTACTGTGTCTAAACTCTGTTAAAGGGTAAAGACCACACTTCAGTGAATTGAGTGACAAATCACTTGATTTGATCCAATGATCCAATTATTAATTAATTATATATTAAGTTATGTTTACTATGATTACTATTAATAGCATTCATGTGAGTCTCATATCAATTAAAACATCAATTAATACGAGAAGTGAAAGCAATAATCAATACATGTATCGATTGAATGAGATATGAATTGAATGTTAAACTATATTTCAAATTCAATTGAATCACAAAAAGTGATCACTTTTTACATAAAAAACAATTCAAAAATAAAATCGCAATAAAAGTGTAAAAAATGGTTAAAACAATGAAAACTGATTTAAGAAATAGATGTAGAAATGGATTACTATTTGGTTACTACTAGTGGTGGTTATGAACACTAATCACGGATTAAGGGATTATCGTATGAATGAAGTGAACACTTAATATGGATATAATTGACTCAAACAATAGACAATCAATGGATTGATAGCCAGAAAGTGTTAGTCATTTGCTTATGTGGTGTAAGACTGTATGCAATGATTATATTGAGTGTTAGGCAGACATTGGTTGTGAAAGTCATACACAATAGAGGGTTACGTTAAACGTCACAAACAATGCAATGTTTACAGTGAGGGACACAGCAGTGAGAGTGCGTCACAAACAACACATATGAACCCAATCACAGACTCACATACAGTCAGACAGACAGACAGTTAGACATACAGACAGTCAGTGTGTCATATGGTGTGTCAGACACTCACTCCACTAATCCGTAGACTAATTGTCACCACATTTACTGGACATTGAGTGTCCATTCAGTGCTATATTATAGTTAGTATTCATGAAATACTATTCAAAAAACTTTTATTCATTTATTATACACTTGTTGTTAGATTTCATTTATGATTCATTCAATATTGAAGTTTTATCGCAATTTATTACTCATTTCAATGTTAATTACAGTTACATATTTTTATGATCATTATTTGTCTTATGCTTATACCATGGTCATATAATAATACATGTATTCATTATATGGCTATTTTGATGAACAAATTGGTAGTGAATGACACAATGATAGCACTTTTAGTTTAAGTCTTAAACTTCAAACCAATAGTTTATTGCAATTATTAGCACTCATTACATAAACCTATTGTCTGATCATTTGTGTCAAAACGCGTGCTTTTGTTTGGTTTATGTATTTGTTGTGACATTTAATCTACAATTGATAACAGTTTATAACTTAGTATTATTAGTACAGTATTGGCAACAAGTGTTGTATGCATTCATACAATTGATACCTTCAGTCACAACATTAGACTTAATGAGCACTCAATGCATACATCAGCCATTAGTTACCATTAGTTGGCATTTTAGTCACTAACCATACAATGAAACGAATTGACAATCAGTTTATTACCCTGATAATTAGACGGATATTGATTATCGTGAAAATTTCAGATAATCTGCATGTAGGATATAGCATCCAAATACATTCTCGACTTTTGTGTCACTTTTTGCATTCTATGCCACTCTAATAAAGTGACCAAGAACACTATAGTGAACCACTCATGGCACCAAACATCACCTAATGGTTAAAAAGAGTAATCAAATAGTAGTCATTGTTTGTAACTAATGAGAAAGTCTTATGAATGAAGTAGGACTCAAATAATTGATAGATCCTAAAACTATAGTTGCAATGACCAGGACCAGTTTAGAAGCGTCAACGATACACTTAAGACTACAATTTAGTGCATATATTCAAATGTGGTCAATGCATATGTGATATGATTATGAATTGAATCAACAAATGAGTGTTAACAGTTAACAGTTACCTTGCTCAAATATAAAGTTTTCATAGACTTATCAAATGATTACAACAAATAGACTGACAATTGATTGAAAAGCTGTGAAATGAGTGTTTGTGTGGTTGTGGTGCCAGACGTGACATCTTGAGGCTCGAGTGTGCACTGAATTGAGTGATACATGAAAACAGTTTGCAATGAATGGCATAAACATTGCATTGAGTGTACAAATGGTTGAACTGTTGGTTCATTTGCTTGACTATAACTCCCACTTTGACTCTCACAGCAAACCATCGCTTAATCGCTAAACAAATCCATTCATCCCTTCATTTAACCACAAAATGGTAATCATTTGTTCATATCTATTGCCATTGAATGACAGTCTCAGTTGTCAACACTTCTGAGCGTGTGAAGTGTTTGGTGACAATTCAATGATAATGTCATAATCCGTGCAAATATGTTGACCAATGAATGCCAGTAATTGACACTTGGATTATCACTCCCACAGAGTTTCCTGGGTTTCCGGCAAACGGCAGACATTGACATCATTTTGGACGGCAATGAGTCCCGAAAGATGGCCGAAATGAAGACCGAAGACGGCAAGAAAGAGAAGTATTACCTCTACTATGACGGCGAGACAGTGTCCGGCAAAGTATGTCTTCACCACCGCTTATATCACTTGATTCACTTGTGTCCAATTGATCCAAGTGTTCAACACTTGAGATGACAATTGGCTTTAGTTTCACACATTGTCTCACCTCTTGAGACATAGTGTTTGACTAAATATTAGATAATTGTCTCATTGTTTATAAAATAAGTTTGTTTTATATAAACATTTGATTGAATGCATAGAAGCAGTGGTTAAATGAGTTTTTAAATGAGTTTTTAAATGAGTTTTTAAATGCATTTCAGGTGAACATAACGCTGAAAAAGTTGGGAACAAAGCTCGAGCACCAGGGCATCAAAGTTGAGTTCGTGGGTGAGATCGAGCTCTACCAGGACAGGGGTAATCACCACGAGTTCACATCACTTGTCAAAGACTTGGCCCGACCTTCAGATCTAATGCAAAACACGAGCTTTTCGTTTGAGTTCTTAAACGTGGAGAAACCCTATGAATCTTACACGGGATCTAATGTCCGGCTCAGGTTAGCCACTACTTGACCACTACTCGAGTCCATAAAATGCATATTTATTGGTTTTGTTGGCATTTTAGATATTTCCTTCGCGTGACAATAATTCGCAGATTGTCTGATATCGTCAAAGAGCTCGACCTCATTGTCCACACTCTCTCTCATTATCCAGAAGTGAATTCTCCGATCAAAATGGAAGTGGGAATCGAAGACTGTCTGCACATAGAGTTCGAGTACAATAAATCCAAGTAAGACTCCATTCTGCGCTATACCGTATGATCTGTGGTGAGCTAATCATATATCTGTGGCCATTGTTGCAGATATCACCTGAAGGACGTAATTGTGGGCAAAATATATTTCTTACTCGTGAGGATTAAGATCAAGCATATGGAGATCGCAATCATAAAGAGGGAGACGACAGGAATCGGACAAAACACGTTCAATGAGAACGAGACGATCGCGAAGTACGAGATTATGGACGGCGCGCCCGTTCGCGGCGAGTCTATACCCATACGACTGTTTTTAGCCGGTTATGAGTTAACGCCCACTATGAAAGACATAAACAAGAAGTTTTCGGTTCGCTATTATCTAAATCTAGTTCTCGTCGACGAGGAGGAGCGCCGGTATTTCAAACAACAAGAGATTGTCTTGTGGAGGAAAGGCGAGCGAACCCGAAGAATACCGATCCAACAGATCCAACAAATACAGCTCCAGGAGGAGAACAAACCACAAGTGAATAACACCAACAGCTGAGCCAATGTTTTATTGATTTATGAGTTTTTAATTCAAATTATAACTATTATAGCGTTGAAAAGGCATTGCATTCCCTAATGTTTTGTTGATATTTAATATAAATAATTAAAAAGATTTATTCAAACATTGAAAATACGATTCTAATGAAATAATCATTTTTTATATACAATTAATTATTATTTAGACTTGATTTTCTCCTTAAATAAAATCACTTCATTTGATTGAATCAGTCAATCGACTGAATAATTATTTATTTGATGAACACATAAAATAGTTTTTATTTGTTTAACAAGTTTTTACAATCGATTCAATTGTATGTTTGCATTGGTTTTTCTTTTTTGAATCGCTTTAACTATTTTTTTGTATACAAAACTTAAAATACAATAAATATTAAAACAAAATCATTTTTACACAAAGTGTCTGTTTAGCCCCTAACTAAAAGTTCAAATAAATTCATTTCAAAGAATAAAACAATTTTTATATACATTTATGTCAAAAAATAACTTCATTTAACTAAAACTCAAAAATGGAAATATTCTTAAATGAGAGTAAATTCAGACCCTTTATAACGAACGGTAATAATGGTTGTGTCTATTCATTCATATATTTAGCTTAAAATATGTTTACAAGTATTTCCGAAAAGAATTCAAAACATGATAATAATATTTAAAGTCTAATACGAGTCAAGAAATTCAATAAAATATTGAGATTTAATATAAGAATAATTTAAACAATTCCTTAAAGATATGATATTTGTGTTAACCGGTGAGCGGATGTAAATCTACTCTAACCTTCTCTGCGGTGCTTAACATTCCGACCGTTGGATAAAAGCCTCCCTTCGGTATCGACACCTCTTTTTGTCCGATTATCACTCCGTTTCGTGTGAAGAAAACCTCAACTTTTCCGCAATTCATTTCTTCGACCTTATGGTCACGTCTTTCAATATAATTATAGCCATTACTGGGCGGCGGAAGCATAGCTATGGGTGCCATAGGAGGCACGTGACCCAAATTGTGACGATAGCCCATAAACCTGGGATTGAGTGGAACTAAATCGTTGTGCAACGGAATCATCCAACCCTTCCACTCCTTCTCTTCATAGCAGTCATTGTTTTCGTCGCTTTCAATGGACGAGTCGTTCTCAGCGCCCGAATGGGACGACTGCGACAACTCATCCAACTGTTCGTCTGAATCGCTGTAAACGTTCACTAATTCAGATTCAGAGCTACTATTGCTTTCATTTGACTTTTTGACAGCTTTTGCCAATCGATTACTTCGACCGCTATTATTGAAATTACGCGGAAATTTCATTCCACAGCCCATTAGGTCTCCCCGATGACAACTCGGACCAAACGGATCGCCGGCACCGCTGCCCACAAATATCTTACCGTCGTCTGCGTGGTATGCAATCGAGCCTTTGTTCCAACCCGGATGACTGTGGCGCGGATACTCCTGATCATAGGTATAGACAAAACCATTTTATGTCAAATAAATGGCTTCAAGTGACTTGAGAACTCACTTTTCGTGTTAATCCGATAGCGATGTAACAGTTCTCTCCGGGATCTATGATTTCGATCTCGAAATAGTGGAACTGTGTGTCGAGCGGTTGTCTGGCCTGAGCTAATCCCACGTCGAGAATGCTTTTGCCCCGACCCGCGTACTCTAACAGCTAGTATTCACACAACAAACCACTTTAAGATATATAAACTTTTGAAGCGATAGTAAAACATACATTTCCATTGAGGCGAATGTCGTGCAATCGCATCCAATCGTCTTCATAACTATCGATACACATCAACGACTCGTCAGATATACTTCTGGTCAGAGAGGACGGACACCAACGAAGATTCAAATTGAGCTTCACTTCCTCTCCCGGAGAACACAACGCAATGGCAGGAAATAAAGGACTTCCCCTCACCAGCAATGGTGTGATTATTGTCGAACCAATCTTTGCATAAATACATAATTAATGACTCAAATCATGGATGAGATGTTCAACAAAACGAACTTCAGATCCATTTAACGTAAAATAAACTTTCATTTTCATTGACGGCGCGATTGGATTGACTTTTTGTAAATATGGATCATTGGAGCCATCGATGGTTTCGTAGCGAACGCCACAACCAATTTTGTCACCGATTTCACACTTGTCCGCCACTACTGTTCCCCTTTGATGTCCCAAATAGATCCTACAAACAGGTCTCACATAAGAACCACTTATTGATGACAAATAGTATGCAAACCTTCCGTCGCCGGCGTGATAGCCAACAGAATTGGCCACAAAACCCGGCAATTGATCCAAAGGGTGATTATTAGGGACGAGACCTAAAGCAATATCTGCCGCAGAACTGCATTCAATGACTTCAATCTCGAAGTATTCATTGATGTCGGGCTCGAGAGGTTTGGCGGCGATGTATATCCCGGGCAATGACTTCTCGTCCAACGCATAGCTGAGTATATCTTCGGATTCGCAGTTAATTCTATGTATTTGTGGTTTACTTTGTTTGCAGACATTTAAATGGCGGCCCAATTGGTGGCATTCGCGACGATATATGCGATTCAATTGCCGGTGAAGTAAACCATCCATTTTGGACATCGACTCAGATATCTGTGGCAAACATAGCATACAATCAGTGAGTGATGGCTTCAGCTGCAAGTCATTGGCCACGAGTTGACCACAAATTGAATCCATAATTACTTTATTCAGCAAATGATGGCTTGATTTCATGAAAACCTCAATCCCTGGAACCGATCCTCAAATCCAATGCATTCATCGCTATATCTATGGATTAGATGTCTATAAGTGTTGTCTGAATACAGTTTGCATTCAATTCACACATTAGTCTCACGTATGAAAGCAATTGATTTGTAAATATAAATAAAATAAATAATAATTTAAAACGAAAGCAGTGTTTGAAGTAAATGTCAAACAAATAGTGAGAAAATGATGTTTTGATTACAAAAACATTTAACGATTTGTTGCGTAAAACTACGACAGCTGTGAATGAGTGCAACATTGAGACGATTCATGAAATCGTTGTTTCATTTCGTCATTAAAACTCATTTTACACTCATTTTGTGCGAAATATTAGTATTAAATGAATGAAAATGAATGAAATGAACAAAATTAGTGACTAATAGTGAGTCTCGTATGCAATGAATTGAATTAACAGTGAATTTGAGTGAATAGTGAGAAATGGGTTCACATTTGGCGCCAAACTATCACTGCTTTCATTGCTTTCACAACAAAACCAATGAATGAATGAAAAGACGTTTTTGAATGAAATGTCCAAAAGTGAGACACAATAAGACAATAAGAGGTGAAGACAATTGTCTTCGGGTGAGTCAGATGGAGAGGAACGCCATCCTGAGTGCGGGCAGTCGTGCGGACAGTCAGTCGTCCAGTGGATTGACTCAATTCAATGTGACCCCCTATAAGATCTGTGTCTCGGCTCTGATTGTGGTGTTCAGTGAAGACAAGACCACGAAAACGAGCCAAAGAGATGTCGGCATGTTTTGCTTGGTGTGTCTCAAACTGATCCAATCTCTTGACTCCAATTACAAGCAATTCGTGCAACAAATGAGTCCACCGTTTGTGACGAACCGCGTGAAGAGGAAAGTGATGGACAAACTGAACGACATCTCCAGCGAAGGGTTGAGTCATTTGATGGATTTGATGGCATTAGTCAAACAGATCTCATCCCAGGCCACGATCCAGAAGTCGTCGATTGTGGGTCTGTTTGTGCGGCGGATGTGGTTATACTTCGATAAACTGAGTTTCAGTGCCGTCTCGCAGCTGTTCCACAGTCTTCGCGATTATATGAACGACAGGAACGACACGAAAATCAATAATACGATGAATACATCGATTAATGTGGAGAACCGGACGGAGACGTGCCCTCAGATGCAGTACTTTATTAGCAAACAATTGAATTTAATCCAAATCAATGAGAAGAAGGCGTTGACTCCGTTTGATCTGTTGGAACAAATCAATCGATTAATGTGGAGAACCGGACGGAGACGTGCCCTCAGATGCAGTACTTTATTAGCAAACAATTGAATTTAATCCAAATCAATGAGAAGAAGGCGTTGACTCCGTTTGATCTGTTGGAACAAATCAGGAACAACTGCCAGACATCCGATGTGAACATCAGTTCCGCGAGCAATGACTTAAATGATGTCCACTTTCTCAAGTATTTGAATGCTCTCAGAGTGGATGAGTTCGCGGCCGCCAAGGAGTCACTAATGGCTTACTTCGACGGCAACGCCAACCAAATGAGTAGGTGTTGGCCGGCCCTCAACCTCGCGATCCTTCACTCGCACTTCGGGCACAACGAGTGGGCCATTCAGGCCATCAAAGAGTGTATTTCTGCGGCACAGGAATCCAATGACGAGAAATGTCTGGAATTCGCTCTCATGTGGGTCTCGAGAGTGTTATCACAAACCGATTCCGATTGCGATATCTCTTTATTGCTGAATCACTTGCAGACCAAAGCCAATGAGTTGGGTCTGCCGTACATATCATCCATATCTCAGTTACAATCGGAGAGAATGCAAATCACTTCCTCCCCATCCGTGAGTCCCACCGACAACTCAGTGAACCCGACGCTCACGTGTTCGACGCCAGGAATACTGGCCGTCAAGCACTCGATGAACGACGTGCTGATGATGTCCTACTCCTCGAAGGCCGCTCTACTCAATCTGTACGGCGCCTCCAATTTGGCGGCACTTACTTCACAGGTATTGCTTCACTTGAATGTCTGCGAACCGGTCGGCGAATCCAATGTCTATCACGTGAATGAGAACACGTGTATTGGTGTCCGCAATATAGCCCTTCATTTGTGGCGAAATGCGGGCCAATACAGCATCGCTCGCGATATGCTCTTCCACTTGAGTTCACTCTACTCTCAATACAAAAGCAAATTGAATGCCATTTGCTGTCAGGCCTTAGCAGACATCGAGTTTGAACTTAATCTCAATCAATGCAATTGGAAGTCAGCTCTAAAATGCGTGCAAATAATCAATTCGTGTGATCGACTCGAAGCTAACATGAAATTAGCGCACCTGAAGGCCAGACAGGGAGACCACCTAAAGGCCATCGAACTCATTGACCAAATACTGAACAACGAGACCATTCAAAAGAGAGACACAAATCCTTTCCTTAAAATCAATGCAATGCTATTGAAAGCAAAGCTATTGAATGAAATGACAATTATATTGGAATGCATTGATATGTGTGCTCAGCACCAACTACTGGGACTGGAGGTGTCGTGTTTGGTGCAACTGTCGGCTATTTTGCAGCAAAAT